ATGTTGATTATAGTAGATTAGTAGATAAGTAGCTGATAGATTATAAGATCAGTGGATCAGTATGTGAGGAGACTAGAAAGTAGATTAGTATATAGTAGATAAGTAGATTATAAGATCAGTATGTGAGGGGACTAGAAAGTAGATTAGTATATTAGTAGATAAGTAGATTATAAGATCAGTATGTGAGGGGACTAGAAAGTAGATTAGTACTATTAGTAGATAAGTAGATTATAAGATCAGTATGTGAGGGGACTAGAAAGTAGATTAGTATATTAGTAGATAAGTAGATTATAAGATCAGTATGCGAGGGGACTAGAAAGTAGATAAGTACTATTAGTAGATAAGTAGATTAGTAGATTATAAGATCAGTAGATCAGTATGTGAGGGGACTAGAAAGTAGATTAGTACTATTAGTAGATAAGTATATTCGTAGATTATAAGATCAGTAGATCAGTATGTGAGGGGACTAGAAAGTAGATAAGTACTATTAGTAGATAAGTAGATTAGTAGATTATAAGATCAGTAGATCTGTATGCGAGGGGACTAGAAAGTAGATTAGTACTATTAGTAGATAAGTAGATTAGTAGATTATAAGATCAGTAGATCAGTATGCGAGGTGACTAGACAGTAGATAAGAAAAAAATAAAATAAAATAAAGACCAGAAAAGTGTACAGAAATAGACAGACCTGATTTTAAGATTATAACTGAAAGTTTTATTAAGGTTAAATTTATAAATTTTACTTGTAAGTAAAAAAAGAAGAGTTCAAATAAAAATTTACATATGAAGAGGGTGTTTTCTTATAAAACAGATAAAAGAAAAAGTAATTTTTCAGTATCTTATGCAGAATTCAAGGGCGTATACAGAAATAAATGTAGGGGGGGGGCAAGATTTGCGCGAAGCGCAAAAATTTTTTTTGCCCCCCCCTAGGAGCTCCTAGGGGGGGGCAAAATTCGAACTGTAAATTCATAACACTTGGCTTCTTGGATATCAGGCATAAGTATAAGATACTTAAAAGGCACACATACAGTCCAAATAATTACCTTCTAAGCATTGTTTCTAAAAAATCGACATTTTATTATACTTTTATAGGTATATTTAGTATTTAAACTAGAGATAGTAAAAGACATTTTTGAAAATAAAAACTTAACTTAAACTTAAATTCTATGAGATGAAAAGAAGTACAAAGGTCCAGAAAATAATTATGACTTGTAAAAGTTTCTGTTGTGAAAAAAAGTAGGAGTACAATTGCTGCAATCTAAGAATGAATGATAACTCAAGGCTTATAAATAACAGTATTTGATTCATGATAATTATTAATCAGCAATTCACAGATACCAGTCACAACGGCAACTTTTAACAGACTCACATCACTACTAAACAAGACTAGCATATAATGTAAAGTGTGTGAGCTGTACAAATGTATGCAGACTGTGTGTTCTCTGAACCCAACTAAACTCTGTGTACTCTGTGAACTTAAAAGTTAAAATTAGGTTAGGTTGGTTAGGTCAACTTGGTTACAGCATGAGCACTGCACTGTAATTATATATATTTTAAAATTTTGATTTTGATTTTTTTATAATAATCATGAAAAGCAAACTTATTATTTTTTGTGTTCTTCATTCTTCAGTTAAGATTTGAAAAGTACTGTGAAAGGCTTGCAGAATTCTAGGGGGGGGCTACGCCCCCCCCTTTACAAGTCTAGGGGGGGGCACTGCCCCCATGCCCCCCCCCTGTATACGCCCTTGGCAGAATTTACTTAAATACTAATTAATCTATCAAACTAAATTATAATATGATATATCTTGATTGAATAATTTTATACATATAATTGTAAGATATTTTTGTTATTGGAATCTTTGTGCAGCTTATACATCAAGAATTAATATGTTATTTAAGTTCCCCTGCCCGCGGCCGCGTCCTAGTTTGATTCAGCTGTTTAGTTTTTAATTCCCCCAACCGACCGTTGAATCAGCTGGTCGTAACAAAGAAACAAAAACAATCGTTGACAGTACGCTTAGCGTCAGTTTACGTCGATTTTTACTAAACAAACTTTGAAACTATTGTATCAATGAGCTTTCTCATCTTTCAATAGTATCCTGAACAGGAAGAGTTCCGAAATTCTAGGAATTTAAAAATATTAAATATCAAGACCTGAGTCTGGTATGCCCCGGCAGCCATGGCGTCAGTCCAACACTGCGGACTGCCTCCCTCCCTCCCCCCTTCCTCCTTCACTCTCTCCTTCTGACCCGGCCCGGCCCGCTCCAGTGTTCAGGGTCTTCTAGGAAAAAGGATATTTCTAAAAACGACGACATTTCATCATATCTTGATCAGCTAATTTCTCGATTCTGGAAAGAAATTTAATTCCACTTTGAGATAATGCAGTGCAGGTAGGCGATTAATGATTATATCAGTATAATGAAGACGACTTTTTATTTCAGTTTTAATTGTTAACAAGCTTTTTTTCGAACAACAAGTTTACAAGTATTTGAAAATAATTGCTTTTATACATGACAGCAATTCTTTGTTTTCATATTTTTGTTTATCCATGCTGTTCGAAATTGAAATCAAAAGAATTTTCTTCATTATTTTGATATATTCACCTACCCCCGAACAAAATATAAACTTTATTGTGATCAAATCATGCATTATTAGTATTTTAAATCTTTTTAATTTTTTTCTGTAATTTAATTTAATGTTAAGTAAGCAGAGGTTTTCGTATATTTGACACACAAAAATCTTGCGAGATGGTGATATTATAGAGGACGTGAGGTCAAACTCTAATGAAACGCGTAAAGTACCTTCCAGTATATTTATTTCTTATAACTTATTACTAGAGGGTTTAGAACAAGAGTAGATATCAAGATCACACGTGTGGATTCAAAGTACAATGCCCCGTATCCGGCCGTTCTATCTCATTCTTGTGGAAGTAGTTCAGGGCGGCTAGGCCCGTCTTCCACAATATAGTTAATTTGGTAATACTGTCCCGTTCTTATAGCCTGTATGCACTGTACAATGTACATGATTAGCTCTATCTTTGCTTTGAAGTCCAGTCTGTTACCTTAAATGGACACATATGTTTTACGCCGAATGGAATCATCGGACGGCAAAAAAATTATTTAAAATAGCCTATCTAAAATTTAAACCTACTAGCCTTAGAGGGCGCTTCGCGCCCATCTTCTAAATTAATTGTGAACATGTTCTCTTTGTGTACATCGTAAAACAAAACAAAAGTAATTCGCGGATTTTCACAAAAAAATTCGTGGATTTTCAAAATTTTTAAAAATTTAATGAAGATCGAATTTTGATGGAGACAAATATTTGAAATTTTGATCATTCATAAACCTTCCCTGGGGCTCCATGAGGTCCCACAAAAATTTTGGGCCCGATCGGTTCAGCCGTTTTGACGTTTATTGGATACAAACAAACAGACAGACAAGCCAAATTTATATATAGATATGTAGTAAATGCCCTATACTCCTAACACTACTTTTATATCAGTCCCAAGTAAAAAAAAAAAATTATTAACTTTTATTCTTTATAATCAAATTTAACAATAGAAATTACAATTTACAAATAAGTGGTATTTTCCTAGTGCTCTTAAGTAAGTTAAATTTTGTTTATGTTTGGACAGATTATTCATTGAGATATTGCAATCTTTTGCAATAGAATTAATATTTTTAGATCAAAATGTTCGATAATAATTTTTAAACAGATGAAAACAAGACGGCGACATATTTTAAATAATTGTTTATGACAAATTTTACTGTTTATTTTATCTATATTTAGAAATAATCTGTCATTATTAAAATACCAAGGATATGCCGGAAAATCTATATAAATAAAGTTGTAATCTCTGTTTGTTTGTCCGACCATAACTTCGGAACCTTTGGACTGATTTGCCTCAAATTTTGATTGGGGAACTCGGGAGGCCCACGAGAATGTGCTTAGCTTTGTGAACGTTTTTAAGTTGAGTGGGTCGTGGTTCAATAGCGAAAATTTTGTTTCCCGGTAAAATCGTGCAAGTGCGGGTAAACGGCGGAGGTAACTTTTAGTAACCTGGGCAGCAAGAATTAATTTAAAAAGAATCAACCAAAATAAAATAAAAACATAAAATTGTATAGAAAATTTAATTTGCAATCATTGTCTTTTGTGTCAGGGTTTAAACTTTTTCCGCAAAGGCTGACCTTACATGCTGACATAGTTGTAAAAGCGAGAAAAATTGTTTTTATACGACACGACAAATAGTTTTCATTTGATGGAATATTTCTATAATATAGACACACAGTTATTCAGATCTTTCGGTTCAATGCTCATTGAAATTAATTTTCAGTCCCATTTTTACTCTGAAACAAGAAATTCAAACATCCCACAGCCCACAAATATTTTTTTTTAAATTCAAAAAAATCATAATCTATTCTATTACTTTATTAATTATATTTACATCACATACATACAATGTGCACATATCGAATTAATAAATACTAAATAAAATCACAATTTTAATTCATTACTATATACAACTTTATCTTCACAAAACAGAGACAAATCAAAACATTCAAATAAAAGAAATCATTTTAGCTTTTTAAGTTAAATTTCTCCCTAATTTTTTTTCATTCACCAAAAACTTTTTTCAAATTATTAAAAGTTTTCAAAGCTGAAAAATTACAAATTACAAAACTTATTTTTTAAAGTAAATGGAAAGGATATTTTGCATGAAATTTTGATCGAAATCAAAAGAAAGTTTATTTTTAAAAATATTGTCTTCAGTTTAAGTTTTTCTAGTATAGTTAAAAATGGTATTGTGTTGTATAATGCTACCAGATTTAAACTGTTTACAGAATGATAAGAAATGGCAACAGAAAAAAAATCCTGTATATTTGATAATATTTGAAATAAAGTAACTAAAAACTTATTTGGGGAAGTCTTTCAACTTTTCATGGACATATTATTATTTTGTCCTATAGAAATTTCTTGTTATTCTAGATGGCCGTCTTTCTGAAAATGCAGTTTTTTTTTAAAAGTAGTTATTTATAAATTTTTGTCATTCTAGAAAGTGTAGTTTTTCCAGATAAAGTCGTTGATTTAAAAAAGCATTGATCTAGAAAAAGTGGTTGATCAAAAAATGGTTGATCTAAAAAAACGGTTAATCTAGAAAAAATTGTTTATCTAGAAAAAGTATGGTTGATCTAGAAAAAGTTGTTTATCTAGAAAACGTATGGTTGATCTAGAAAAAGTATGATTGATCTATAAAAAGCATGGTTGATCTAGAAAAAGCATGGTTGATATAGAAAAAGTATGGTTGATCTAGAAAAAGTATGGTTGATCTAGAAAAAGCATGGTTGATCTAGAAAAAGTGGTTGATCTAGAAAAAGCCGTTGATCTAGAAAAAGCATGATTAATCTAGAAAAAGCATGGTTGATCTAGAAAAAGCATGGTTAATCTAGAAAACATTGTTGTTTATATGTTTGAGCGCTCTACCCTGTTTTGCGTCTAGAAGAACAAACCAATATTCAGTTTTAAATAAATATTATATTAATCATAAAATATTTTATTCAAATATGAAATATTCCGCATTTTTATAGCGTGATCCTTGGAATAAAAAGTTTAATATTTGATCCGAGACAAATAAGTCACTTTTTATTCTAACAAATCCCAATTTTTTAGGGGTTTTTTTTCAAATATTCAACAACATTTTTACATATTTAAAAAAATGAAATATTTTAACATACTGTCTTTGGAACAATACGTTTTAATTGTTTTTTATTTCTTCTTGTCTTTTTTTTGGTTTGAACTAAAAAAAGGATTTGCATAAATATATATTATCATTTCTAAATCTTTAAGTGAAGTAATTCTTATGAAAAATGAGATATTTTGAATTATATTGGTTTGTATTCCTGTGATGGCCCCCCAGAGCTCGAATATAAAATCGTCCGTGAAGCCGAAAGCCTCGAGGTCAGAGTTATCAATGGCCTCGGCCAGCTCCATAGTGTTAGTCTTACCCTCCGCTAAATCCCAAATCTGAGATGCTAAACACAGGCCAAAAATTAATTTTTTTTAATACAACAAAATAATCGAAAAACTGAAGATTTTCACATTTTGTTAGATGTTGAAATAAAAAGCGTAATAGTTCTTGTAGTTTTTTTTCATTTAAAAAAAAAACAAATTGTCATAAAAATTTACTTCAGATTCTCAGATTTTTAATATTTTTTTTCGAAAAAAATGGAGTAATGGAAAAAGTAAAGGTTTTCAGATAGAAAACACAATTAAGAGAATTTTTGAATAATCTGTTATCTTTGATTTCTCTTTTGTCAAGAAATTAATAAATGGACGATTTTTAGTTTATTTCTTACCTAACTCCGAATCATTAATCCCCATGAAATTTTCCAGTAAATTGTTAATATTCTCCTCAGCAACAGTTCTAAACATATTATTATATAATTATGATATTATTGTTTCAAAAAGAAATCATAATTTAACTATCTCAAGTTTCAGCATGTATCAAAACCTCTTGCACTCTTTAAAACAATATTATTCTCTAGCTAGATAAGATAAATCGCTTAAAAAAAGTTTTTTTGTTGCAAATGAAATTATTTTTTTTTGGGGGGGGGGGAGTGAGCTTAAAATTGAAGACCGTTTACCTGGCACCACTGACTTCCTCGACCTCAGGATGACTGTTTGCATGACACTTTTGAACTCCTCGACCTCTGGAGGACTGTTTACCTAACAAGGCTAACCTCCTCGACCTCTTGAGGACCGCTTACCTGACACTGCTGACCTCCAAAACCTGGCAACACTGACACCATCGACCTTTGCAGGACCGTTTACCTGATGCTGCTGGTTTCCTCGACCTCTAGAGGACCATTTACCTGACACGGCTGACCTCATCGACCTCTGCAGAATCGTTTACCCGACACTGTTGACCTAGCTCGATCTCTGGAAGACCGTTTACCCGACACTGCTGGCCTACTCGACCTCAGGAGGGCCGTTTACCTGACACTGCTGACCTCCTTGATCTCAGGAGGACCGTTTACCTGACACTGCTGACCTCCTAGACCTCTGGAGAACAGACTACCTGACACTGCTGAACTCCTCGACCTGTAGAGGACCGTTTACCTGACACTGCTGACCTCCTCGACCTCAGCAGGACCATTTGCTCTCAGCCGCAATGTCTGCTTCCCTGACCCATAACTAGCTTTCTTCCCAGCCCCAGGACCGCTTCGGGGACCAATATTTCCTAGAAAAAAGAATATTTAAATTTTGAAAAAAAAACATGAAAGTTGATAAGTTTTACATTAATTATATGATTGTAAAAATAATGTAAGAAAAGTGAAATAAGTAAAACTCTCTCCTCACAACTTCATTGTATTGCATAGCTAGTCAATGGATAAAATCAATTTAATTGTAAATTTAATTTTTTATTTCAAATAAAAATCATCAAAATCCTTCATTTTGATTAGTTTAATTAGCACTGCAAATTTAACTAAGCCAATTGGAATATTAAATGCAAATATTGAAATCTATTTTTGGATTTTTATATATTTACATAGTTTGCTTAAAATCTATTTTCTATTAATAACAACCTATCAATCTATCTATCTATCTATCTATCTATCTATCTATCTATCTATCTACCTATCTATCTATCTATCTATCTATCTATCTATCTATCTATCTATCTATCTATCTATCTATCTATCTATCTANAGTTTGGAGGGGAGTAGGGGGATGAGGGAGGGAGAGCGATTTTTTGACGGCAAATGTTTTTTGACAATCTTTCACACATTTTTGTCGTACTTTTAGATACATATGATGATACTGTACAAACGTTGGTCCTCTTGATCATAATCAACGAGGTGTATACAGTGATGATGTACGCTAATCCTTTACTAATTGTATAGGCCATAACCTATACCGAGAGCTTACTGCATATTTGTTTATTATAAGTTGATTCTGGCCTAACCTATAGTATATTAATATTGTTGTTATACTTTTTATGGATTTCCGTTTTAAGGGCACAAAGTTGTATTAGAAATGACCTTGAACTGGTAAATTCTTGTATTAAATTCTAAGTGAGTATAATGTGATGTATACGCCGGTAAAAGTCTACAAAGAACCTGATATTGGTTTATACAACAAGAATACCAATGAACTCTCCACTTTTACACACTTCTACACAATTGCCAATAGTTCACATTATTGCAAAACTTTGTAGAAATATATGTATTCTGAGCTATAGATCCACTCACAACATAAGCATTTATAATTCTTTTTAAAAGCCATGTATCTTGATTAAAGTAAGGAATTAAGAACTTGCCACAAACTCAGATTTTCAAATCCTATAATTTTGCAAGCAAATGTCGCAGACCTTTGATATTTCAAACTTGGAATTCTGCTAGATCAAATAATCTAAGTTTGAAATATTAAGAATTTACATCATCAGGTTCCAAAGATATAGAGATTAGACAATTTTCACCAATTGCATAGTAATAAAAGTCATTCTTACATCCATATGCACATAAAACTCACAAAAAGAAAATGATTCATTTGCTTCACTGTCCCGTTTTGCTGCTTAAAGTCGGTTTCAATACCGTACAACTAGCTCTGAAAATCAGTCCAGTACTCCAGAACCGGTTTCAATACCGTACAACTAGCTCTGAAAATCAGTCCAGTACTTCAGAACCGGAACCGGAGTTTGCAGTTAAAATCAAAATATAAAATTTGAGTTCATTATTGTTGCACGATTAATAAGATTTAATTGATGTTTAATCTGAAAATGTATTTGAAAGATCTCAATGTTTAGGTAAATGATTTTAAAATTTCATATTTTTATCATTAACAAAAAACGCTTCGAGGTTTTCTGGAAAAAAATTAGAATAAACCGACTTCCGACTTCGGATGTTTTAAGAAAAAGTGTAAAATCTAAATTTAATCTAAAGTAACATTATTTGAATATTGTTATGCATTCTAAATGAAAAGTTTAGAAACTTAGATGCAATTTATCCAGAATTTACGACTTTCTTGGGTCAGCAGAAAATGTTTCAATAAATTTAAATTCTTTGATCTTCTAAAATTGAAAATAGTAATTTAGATTTGTGTAAAAAATTGTTATTATTGATGATTAGGCAAGTGAGGAGGTGAATATAGATCGTCTTTTCTCATCTTCATCGTCAAACCTTCTCCAGGAGTTACAGAACAGTCAGGTAAAATTTGTTAATCAAAGAAAAATGATTAAAATACAGTTAATATAGTTCAATATAAGTAATTTCAAGTTAATCTCTATACATAGAGTAGCACAGCGGGTATATCCTTTCAGGCTTTTTTTTAATACATTAAAAATAAATGCGTTGAAAATCGATTATTTTCAATTGTGGTTCTGAAAAGTGACCAGCGAGTTTAAACACAGAAGTAAATTATCATAAGTAAACACTTTTCAAACTAGAAAAAACGACAATATCTTCCGAATGTTTGATCAGGTAAAGGATTAGATGTTACCGTTGTGAATCGGGAATTCCCCTGTATAAATGTCAGATCATTATAAATCACAACGACAATGTTATAATAAAATAATTTCACCTTTAAATAAATCAAGATTGATATAATTTATATTTAATGGAGAAAAAGCCGTCATAGAAATCGAGTTTCTTCATTTTGTAAAAGTAGTTAAGAGAAAATGAAAAAATCATTAAAGTAAAAAGTAATTTAACTCTTGAGAGAAAACTACTTGAACAGTAATGATTCTGCTCTCTAATTATGGTCCTGATCCTACCTCCAAATTAAGAAGAGATGTGCCAAAAAAAAAGAATTGAGTTTCTGTCACAAACTCAAATTTTCTCAAAAGTATCATAGACCTTTGATAATTTAAACTATAAATTATGTTAGATAAGATAGTCAAAGGTTTACACCAACAGGTTACGAAGATGTTAGGATTAGAAAATATGACTTTGTGATAAAAAACTCACTTCCTTTGTAAGAAAAATAGCGTTTTAGGACTTTTTCGTAGTTGAATTAAAAATTACCAATTATTGATAATAATTTAAACACCAAGGAATTGAGTCTTTATAACACACTCGGATTTTCTAATCCCTATATCTTTGCAACAACATATCGTAGACCTTGGATGAATTCTGTTAGATCAAATAATCTAAGTTTGAATTATCAAAGGTTTACACCATCAGGTTGCAAAGATATGGGGATTAGAAAATTAGAATTTATGGCAAATACTTAATTCCTTTTCAGGGCAAAAATATAGAAAATTGGTAAAAATTACTTAGTTTTTCTCAAAACAAATTAAATCCGAAGATGGTAGGCTTGAGCCAAATTAAGTTAAAAACATAATTTTTTTCTGCCGCAATTTTTATTAATTGTAAAAAAATCCAAATTTTAATCATTTATATTATTTATGATAAAAGTTGGAGCGGGACCGGGCTTTCTTAAATTCTATTTGTTTAGAAGAACACGTTTGAAGAACTTAAAACTGGAAACTTGAAAGGAATAAAACCTTGAACCAAGTTTCCCCAGTCACATTCCACAAAAGAATTACGGTCTCAATAAATTTGGCAAATCCCCGGAAATTCAAAAGTTTTCCATTCAATCCTCAAATCTTGTCTTGTGTACTTTTTTACCATAGAGAATAGAATATATAGAGAGGAATTTACTAGAAAAAAGTGTAAAACGGCCATTTTGTTGTACTGTTTCCATACTGCAGGTGTACTTCACATATATATGCAATATAACCTGTTGGGCCCTGGAATATCATTTTATAGAAAATCTAAAATTATTGTTAAAAGAAAACCAAATTATGAAATAGGCTGGTTTCATAATTGACCATTGATCATTTCACATAGACTCTATGCCGTCCACTTTACAAACGATGATTTTCGAACATTAACTATATCAAGATTTTAAATATTTAGATCATTCATGCTTGAGAGACCAAGGTTTATTCTGTCAGTGAGCCCATTTTCACAAATTTAATATATATATATTTGAAAATATAATTCTTATTTTTTGTTTTTTGATTTTGATAAAAAGCTGTCATCTTCAGCTCTTCTTGTCCAGAACATAATATGAGTTAGAAAAGAGAGATTTTTTAATAACAAATCTTATCAAAAGAAGTTATTAAGTTTTACATCTTTTTCCCATATAGCATTCTCATTAATTTCTTACAAAATGCATCATTATGTTTAAACTTTTTATTTTCTGTCTTAGAAATCAGAAAATGCAGCATTATGTTTAAACTTTTCATTTTCTGTTTCAGAAATCAGAAAATGCAGCATTATGTTTAAACTTTTTATTTTCTGTCTTAGAAATCAGAAAATGCAGTAATATGTTTAAACTTTTTATTTTCTGTTTTAGAAATCAGAAAATGCAGCATTATGTTTACACTTTTTCATTTTCTGTTTTAGAAATCAGAAAATGACAAGTTTCCAGGAGGAAGAATGGAAACTCTTCCTAAGAAAAATGATCAGGGAATTCAAAAAAGATAACTTTTGCACACAAAAAAACTCAGATTTAGAATATAATATTATAACAAAAGCTAAACTCTGAATATACTAAGAAAAAACTTGCAAAGCAAAGCTATCGTTTAGGAGAAGATTTTTCCTTTCTTCACTATCGTCACGTTAAACTAAAGTAAAATTAACGTAAGATTGAAATCTGATAAATTTAAAATTATAACTCCTCGTATTGAACAGCTATGAAGAAGAACAACATTTTTAGAATTTGTTAAAAGTAACCAAATATATTTTCTCTGAGCTGAAAACTTTAGAATGAGATATCCTTAATCCCGATTACTTAATCTGAGTATCCAATGGATACACCTTCTTAAACCGTTCTTTCTTGGATATAGTAGAGAAAATAAAAACCTTTTTTTTAGTTAGAGAGCCCCCCCCCCCCGTTTTTGTTTATCAATCTTAAATGGCGCGCAAAATTTCAAATTTATCGGCTTCATATACGCGACTCTGATTGGTTGAATTTTATACACGTAAATTTCAGGATACAAGTACAAGATTAGGTTAGTCTCGATATTAAGAAAAAGAGAGGATCAAGCATTAATCTCAATGTCCACCATTCTAAAGTTCCCAGCTCTGCTCATATTAAGGCGTAAAATTTAGACTAAAGGAGCTGCGATTAAAAATCGCATCTGTAATTTCGCATAAATGCTATCTTCTTCTTCTGTCTAGATTCTAAACAGAGGTTTAAACTTTTTAGCTTAGTTTTTCTTTCTAAACTTCTTGGATTCGTTTGTATTTATTTTGTTGGATTCAGTAACAATCTGGGTCTGTTCGAGAAGGCACATGGAGAAGAAGGAGAGAGGAAAGAAAGGTAAATTAGGAAAAACGAAAAAACAAGGAAACAGGAGAATACAACAAAAACAGGAGAATTTGAGGATAACAGGAGATTACAAGGAATATAGGAGAATACAAGGAAACAGGAGTATAAAATGAAAAAAGGGGAATATAAGGAAAACAGGAGAATACAAGGAAGACAGAAGAGTATAAGGAAAACAGGCGAATACAAAAAAAACAGTAGTATAAAAAGAAAACGGGATAATACAAGGAAAACATGAGAACATATGTAAACAGGAGAATGAAAGAAAAAACCGGAGAATATCTGGAAAACAGGAGAATACAAGAAAAACAGGAGAATACTAGGAAAACTAGAGAATACATGGAAAACAAGAGAATACTAGGAAAACAATAGAAAGGAAAACAGGATAATCACAAGGAAAACAGAAGAATGCAAGGAAAACAGGAAAATACAAGGAAAATAGGAGAATACCAGGAAAACCGGAGATTACAAGGAAAACAGGAGAATACTAGGAAAACAGGAGAATTCAAGAAAAACAGGAGAATAGAAAGAAAACAGGAAAAAACAAGGAAAACAGGAGAATACACGGAAAACATGAGAATACGAAGAAAACAGGAAAATACAAGGAAAACAGAAAAATAAAAGGAAAAGAGGAAAATACAAGGAAAATAGGAGAACACAAGGAAAACATGAGAATAAAAGGAAAACAGGAGAATACAAGAAAAACAAGTAAATACAAATCAAACAAAATGTATTATCAGAAAACTGCAAGGTCAAGTCTTAGTACCATTAACAAACTGATGATTATTATTACTCCAATGATTAGGATAATGAAGATGGTTCTAAAAATATCATTATTTGATATTTTGATGCAGATGGTGTTGATAATGATGGGAAAAAATAATCATGTTTATAATGAAAGATATTATATTCTTTGTAAAGTTTGGATTAAAAAAGGATTGAAAAGTAAACTATCCATACTATTATATTGTTTAGTAACCTTGTAACCCCCCCCCCCCTACTCTTGTTTTTTATCAATCTTATGAATGGAGTTTATATATGCTTAACAAATTGTTTTACCGCTAGGAAACCTAATCCACTAGTTCAAGAGATCTAATATCAAATAACAAAATGTATAAAACAATATTTGAAAGACAAAGTACAAGAGCACTTGGGAAAGTATGAACATCAAATAAAGGAATTGAGTCTTTGCCACAAACTCTGATTTTCTAATCCCAATATTTTTGGAACCAAATGTTGCAGACCTTTGATATTTCAAACTATGAATTCTGTTAGATCGAATAATCTGAGTTTGAAATATCAAAGGTTTACAACATCGAGTTCTAAAGATATTGAGGTTTAAATATTTGATTTTGTTCCAAAAACTCAATTCCTTTATCTTTTATTAGTTTGAAAATCTTCTTTAACAAAGTACAAATACAATTTATTTCAAAAAACAAAAACCAATTATTATTATTTTAGGCTGGACAAGTTAAAATGTTGGAACTCTGCCCAGAATGGTCTTCATAGTATGCTTAAACTTGGAACGAATATGAAACAGGTTTCCAATACTTGTAAACAACAGCCTGGTCCATCAAAACAAATTGTGTGTATATAAAAGCAGTGTAAATGACATTATAATTATATATATTATATTATATAAATATTATATATATATATATATTAATTAATTTTCATGAATATCGTCAGTTAATTTTAATAACATTAAAAATCAAAAATCAAAATATTTTTATTTTGTTTTATCTAAATCGTTTTCCGTGTTCACTTTATTCAGGCTTCCATGCTATATTTGTGGGATTAAATATTTTTGATAAAATAAACACATTTTTAATCTAAATTGAACTTTTAAAATGGCATTTTGATCACAATAACCGCAGACAGAAAACCTTAAAATTTAATTATAATGATATTTTGTATTGTTCTATTTTGTAGATATATTCATGATAACAAGCTTGGGAACCCAGTTAGAACTGAAAAACTAACACACACTCGATCAAAAAAAATTTAATTTAAGAATTCTAAAACCAGACTAAGAACATTCTCGTGGTTATACTCAGTTTCATATTCGAAATTTGAGACAAATCGGTCCAGGGGTTTATGAGTTATGATTTGACATAGAAAAAGATATTTAGATAATGACAGATATATTCAAGAATAAGAAAAAAAGGAAACAATGATATATCTGAATAGGTTGAAGAGACGGGACGAGGAAAAATGATATTTGAGGACGAAATCAAAGCTCTCGGGGACGAGGGAGTAGTGGACGAGTTTGAGTCCTACTTCTCCAACCTGGTCGGGGACGTGGAGGAGAACAACAGAAAGTATTCCGAGGCTATGAAGGAGCTGGAGGAGCTGCTGGATCTGGAGAGGGAGACGGAGAGGATCAAGAGAAAGGTAGCTGACTTCACCGTAGACTACGACGAGGACTTGGTTAGTTTAGAAACCTTCATTTAGGATTAGTTTCTTTTAATTCCTCTCTATATATTCTATTCTCCATGTTTTTTACAGCACCAATCTTTTCATGAATCCAATCTTACATTTTTAACAAATATTTTTAAACAGGACCCTCCTTACATCTAGGATTATCCATTCTTGTTTTCATATTAAAATATTCCTTCTTGCGTGCTTGACCTTCAAATATTTTATAAATAATTTTTTTAGAAAAAGAAATTAGAAACAATGGAGAAAGTGCAAGCACATTTTGGAAAACGTTTTGATACAATTGGTAAGTAAATTATGTTAAGTTATCAAGTTCAAAATTTTATTTTTAATTTTCTTAGGTATTTTCCAAATGAACTGAGTTTTTGGCACAAAATTAAATATATCTTGAAACCTTATGGTATACGTAGACCTTTGAAGTTTCAAACTTTGACTATTACTTAGAAATTATTTCAATATTTTAATACTTTATTTTTTGTTTTATTTTTTCTGTAAATCAAATATTTTTTTAAGATCCAATCAGTGAAGAGGAACTGGTCCCCTTCCTTAAAGTGCTTCTACAGAAATAAAATGATTTATACGGATTAATCCTTGCTTAATAAATTTGATTTATAATTTTTTGTAACAAAAATACTTAAATCTAAATTGAAAGTATTATGGTAATGTTCCGCTTGATAGATGATTTTACTTTTATCAAAATACATCATGGGAGTTCAAATTAAAAGGTGCTGTTACTCATAACATTTTTAATAGTAAAATAATCCTTAGTTGTTTCTTCAATTACTTCTTTTCGGGAGAGGTTGGATTTAACCCCCGCAGGTATCAGATAGATCCTCTTATAGAAACAGAACGACTTTATTGCTCTTTCAATACCCCAATTCAATATTTTGCGAACACTCCCATAAAATTGAAATAAATCAATATTTTTAACCATCCTTTTTTTTATTTTTCATTTTTTTTAGCATCCATTTTATGTAAGAGGAATTGAGCCTTTGTAACAAAATTAAATATTTAAACCCCAATATCTTTAGACCCCGATGTTGTAAACCTTTGATATTTCAAACTCTGATTATTTGACTTAACAGAATTCATAGTTTGAAATATCTAAGGTCTTTAACATTTGGTTCCAAAGATTTAGTGATTAGAAAGTCAGAGTTTGTGGCAAAGACTCAATTCCTTTAGGCATTATTTTGGCAATTTTCGTTGTTTGAATAGGGCGTTGAGCTCAATGAATGAATCTGAACATTAAATTAACTAATGCCTGGTTGAGTTTGCTTAAAATCCGCAAAATCATCATTACAAACGTGTTTTCGAGCATTAATACAAGGAATTAAAATCATACTGTAAACAGTAGAATTTTCAATATTTGGGGGTTCGTTTTTATTCTTATTTATTGATATTTGATAAAACTGATAATTTTTCTTCTAAATGTTAAAAAAGGAATATGAGAATGTAAACTCGGTAAACCTGAGAATGAGAAGGTAAACTCGGTAAACCTGAGAATGAGAAGGTAAACTCGGTAAACCTGAGAATGAGAAGGTAAACTCAGTAAACCTGAGAATGAGAAGGTAAACTCAGTAAACCTGGAGAAGGACAACTTCGTAAACCCCTGCTCAGAAGAACGAACAAGTAAAGGTTCAACAGAAAAGAAGAAAAAAGAAAAAAACAGAAAAAAAGCTACTAAAAAAGAAAAAAATCAAAATAGGAACTAAATAAAAGTATTTCCAAAAAAAGAGAAGAAAGAAATATAAAAGATCCAAAAAAGAGAAAAAAAGAAAAAAAGAGAAACCTCTGTTTGACCTTAAAAGTTAGTTTCTCAGTAATGTACTGTCACAAGAGAATGGTGAAAAGGGAAACTAGTAGAATTAAACAGAAATTTTGAGAGGGTGTAATCGAAGGGAAACATCTTAAACTCAGTTTATTTGCAAAAAAAGAGAAAGAATGAACAACGAAAATAATAGAAACAAATATGATACTCTGCAGGTTTTTCAACAATGGGAGAAGCTGAAAACCCTTTCCGTCTATATTTAAGCTAATAAAAATTCTTAAAAATTGGAAAAAGAAATAATAATGAATTTAGTCTTTGCCACTAACTCAAATTTCTATAATAGAAACATTGGGATTAGAAAATCAGGAGATTGTAGCAAAGACTCAAACTTTTCCGCCCATCAAACTTTGGAATAAGAAGAGTTCTTATTCATATTTATGTTGTAATAAAGCAAATAATTTTACCAGTAGTTACTAAAAAGGAATTGACTATAATTGCTAAAATTTGTAATTGTCTAATCTCTGTATCTTAGCAAACCAATGTCGTAGATCTTAGATATTTCAAACGATGAACTCTGTTAGATCAAATAATCTTAGTTTGAAATATCAAGATTTACACCATCATGTTGCAAAGATATAGGAATTAGTAAACTTGAGTTAATTCCTTTGCAGTGTTACTACGCTTGATCTTTTTTTTATAAACCTTGAAGATATTAAAGCTATCAAGTGCTTAATTCCAACTTTAGTTTTAAAGAAGTGAAAATCCTGATAAATATTGAAGCATTAGAGTGATAAACCTTGTTAACAGTATCTTAGGATCTTAGTGCCCATTTATCACTTTTTTTTACAAACGAGAGAAGTAGTTTAATTATTTGCACCGAGTTCAACTACTTCTTTAAATTCATTAAATCCTGTCTCCATTTACTTAAATTAATACTACTTCAAAGAGCAAATGTTTTAAAGAGTGGAGTAATAAATCCTGATTTTACAAAAATTAATGTTTTCGGTTTAATCTATATATAAATTTGGCTTGTCTGTCTGTTTGTTTGTTTGTTTGTTTGTCTGTCTGTTTGTATCCAATAAACGTCAAAACGGCTGAACCGATCGGGCCCAAATTTTTTGTGGGACCTCACGTGACCACAGGGAAGGTTTATGAATGATCAAAATTTCAAATATTTGTCTCCATCAAAATTCGATCTTCATTAAATTTTTAAAAATTTTGAAAATCCACGAAATTTTTTGTGAAAATCCGCGAATTATTTTTGTTTTGTTTTACGATGACACAAAGAGAACATGTTCACAATAAATTTAGAAGATGGGCGCGAAGCGCCCTATAAGGCTAGTTTCTATAAAGATGAAGAAAAGCTTAATGAATGAATTGATAATTATTCTGATAATCCATCGAGTAATTGGAACATGTCTTGGAAAATATATATATATATATTCATGTTTTTCTTTTTACCTCATGCAGTTCATGAAATACAAAAAATTAGGTCTGAAAATTCACAAAGCTGAGTAATTGAAATTTGTGTTCTTCCAAACTGCTTAAAATTCATGAAGTTCTAAAATTGAAATTTATGCATATCACGAAATACTTAAAAATACTTTGAAAATACTAAAATAAACTCAATCTATCTAAGGGTTTCACAAACAATACTGGCTTAGAAGGATATTGCAAAATATTTTCTCTAGAAAACTTGACACTGTCTTGATAGGACTGTCATATTTTCAAACTGAGTTTTCTTTAAAAATAGACTCCGGTCTTTTCTTTTCACAAAATTGAAGATGAATTATCTCAGATACAAGATGAATTATCTCAGATACAGGATGAATTATCTCAGATACAAGATGAATTATCTCAGATACAGGATGAATTATGTCTGTTACAGGGTAATTTATCTCAGATACAGAACGAATTATCTCAGATACAAGATGAATTATCTCAGATACAGGATGAATTATCTCAGATACAAGATGAATTATCTCAGATACAGGATGAATAATCTCAGATACAAGATGAATTATCTCAGATACAGGTTAATTTATCTCAGATACAGGATGAATTATCTCAGATTCAGGTTAATTTATCTCAGATACAGGATGAATTATCTCATTTACAAGATGAATTATCTTAGATACAGGATGAATTGTGTCTGTTACAGGATGAATTATCTCAGTTACAGGATGAATTATCTCAGATACAAGATGAATTATCTCAGATACAGGATGAATTATCTCAGATACAGGATGAATTGTGTCTGTTACAGGATGAATTATCTCAGTTACAGGATGAATTATGTCTGTTACAGGATGAATTATATCAGATACAGGATGAATTATCTCAGATACAAGATTAATTATCTCAGATACAGGATAAATTATGTCTGTTACAGGATAATTTATCTCAGATACAGGATGAATTATCTCAGATACAAGATTAATTATCTCAGATACAGGATGAATTATCTCAGATACAGGTTAATTTATCTCAGATACAAGATGAATTATCTCAGATACAGGATGAATTATCTCAGATACAGGATGAATTATATCTGTTACAGAATGAATTCTCTCAGATACAGGATGAATTATCTCTGCTGCAGGATGAATATTTTCGATGATAAATTATCCTGATACATAAAACATTATTAGAGAATTTTTAACAAAATCAACTCCGAAGAAGATCAGTAAAAGTAGATTAGATGCATTTCTCGTTAATAGACATGAGTTGGATCCGAAGAAAAAGCTCTCATTAAAATTATTTTTGTGCACAAATAACAAGGTCAAGAGACTTTAGAGCACTAAACTTAGAGAACAATTAGTTTTTTTTTAAAAGATTAATTAGTCTTTTTTTGTAAAGGATTTTATCTGTAACTGCTTTTGAAAGTTAAATGTTCGACTAGAAGAAAAAATTTAAATTTTCCCACCAATTTCCGCTTTTATAGAGTCCTAGTCTGATTTTCTATCGAATCCTGCTTTCAAAGGTTAAATCTAATTTTTAGAAAAATAATTACTTTTGAATCCTACTTTCAAAGTTCAATAGTCTGATTTTTAGACCATAATTCCTTTCGAATCCAGCTTTTAAAGGTTTACTAGTTTGATTTTTTAAACATTATTCCTTTCGAATTTTGCTTTTAAAGGTTTACTACAGAGTTCCTGAATTTCCTGAAATTCTTACCAAATCCTGCTTTCAAAGGTTCCACTAGTCTGATAACAAATGTTTTTCCCTTAGGTATATTCTTGAGTAGTGTTGCAACCTAGAGTTCAAACTATACTTTAGTTTTAGTTTTTTTGTAGTTTCTAATTATTTACCCCTATTAACTGCACCCTTTTTTTCTGAAGCTTTATATCTTTGCAACCTTATAGTGGAATGTTTAGATATTTGATTTTTCAGAATTCACGTTTTAAATATCAAATGTCTAGAATTAGAATTAAAAAATAAAAGCATTATAAAAGAAGAGTGTGGGGTGAGTAATCACCAATCAGTAATCACGAATCTATAAACTATCAAAAAAACTTTGTTTCAATAACATTATTGAATTAATCTTACGATGACTGGCAAATTTAATGCTACAATTTAAAGATTTAGCTAAAAACGGTAAAGTCATTGTAGAGAGCCGAAAAATTAGATATTTAATGATTATAAAGATATAAAGTATAGGTTTCCTCATAATGTCTACATCCAACCAGACTCTGTCCATCTATCTTCTCTATATGGTCTCCAACCTAAACAAATCAAATTCACAAAAAAAAATTAAATAAATTCAAAACAGTATATGCCTAAAGTTTCTAAGCACTATGAAAGTTTAAATATTCGTTAAAAGTGGTTTAGAAGAAGTCTGAAACGATCTGAATACTTATTCGTTGTAATGTCTGTTTTATGTGAAATTTTTTAATTTTTGATTTTTGATTTTAAACTAATCATCATTAACCTCGAGAAATGCACTTTATTTGGATGAGAAACTTAAGAAACTTAAGAAACTTGATGAGTTATAATAGATTAGATGTTGATCAAGAAACTATAGTACAAAACAAATATTCATCCGTGCATTAGTACTGTACATTAATGTACAATGAAAAATGTAAAAGTGTTACCCTACTAGTTACAGGATACAGTTATATTAAGGTACTATTTACAGGATACAGTTATACTAAGGTACTTGTTACAGGATACAGTTATACTAAGGTACTAGTTACAGGATACAGTTATATTAAGGTACTAGTTACAGGATACAGTTATACTAAGGTACTAGTTACAGGATACAGTTATACTAAGGTACTAGTTACAGGATACAGTTATACTAAGGTACTAGTTACATGATACAGTTATAATAAGGTACTAGTTACAGGATACAGTTATATTAAGGTACTAGTTACAGGATACAGTTATACAAAGGGTGAAACTATTGTATCGAAAAAGTCAAATCCTTTTTTCACCAGAAAAAAAATATCAGAAGTAAATTAGAAACAACATTTCTAAAAAAAAGTTCAAAAAATCAAAACTCAGTCAGTGATTAACGATTTGATAAAAACAGAGAGCATACGGGAGGGTCGATTTTTCAATTTTTCAAAACATGTTTATATGGGTATTAAAGAATGCGTCTTGACTTTCTGAATTTTAACACTCCTCGGGACAAAAAACCGGATTTTTGCTTATAATTTCCTTAATTTTCTAGGAATATTTTTCTAGCTTACATTAATGATTTGATTCACACAAAAAAAGCAAAAATTTGATTGATTTTTAAAATTATAAAAAGGAATTCTTAATTTTTTTTAAAAAGTGCATAAAAAAAGTTTAGAACTGGTGCAAGGCGTATTAGATATATCTACAAAAACTAAGATGTCACTCAAGCAAGATAGTTTAAATATTTATCTCTATGAGAATCAGAAGTTCCCGTTTCTGCATGACATTTCAGAAACGGTTAAAAAATACTTTAAACCCGGATTTAGAATAATGCTCTACGGATTAAGCTGCTGGTCCCTAGGGTTTCTACAATTTCTGTAGCATGGAAGAAAACTTGAATATTACAATAGATAAAATACTTTAAAACCTGATCGGCAACGAAATAAAATATGACAATAAAATAAAACAAGCTTACGTTAACATAAAAAAGAATTTTAAATGAAAATGTTAAAAGATAAATTTGTTGGTAGCCTAAATACAGCATATATTTTGTAGTGAAGTTTGTCACTGCTTTGTACATATTTAACACCAGTACAGTAGTGAATATTTGTGTACAATGAGAACCAAAAAGCTGTGTAATAAGAAGACGATTTTATTTTTAAAAAAAGTTTTACTAGTATAAACTTATTGAGTAAAATGTGTCCGTTTAAACTGCACAATTGTTGTGCTCATGTTCATTAGAATATTAAAAGTCATAATTTACGTCTAAACGTCGTCTTTATATTCCAGAGTTTTCTGGTTCTAGGGTATTCATAATTAATAATGTTGATCTTGATCCAATGTTTTTTTGATGATCTTTTTATGGATGTGTTGAGGGGATTGGGGGTGTGAGGTGCATTTAACACCGAGAAGGCAAGTACTTTCCCAGTGAATGAGATTGGCCCCCCCCCCCCCCCCAGTGGTGGATTACGCACTCGTCCCCCCTCCCCCTCCTTAATTTCTTAGTCTGAGTTGCTGTTTACTTTGAGCCCAAGTTTTTATTTAAAATCAAATATATTAATTAGTCTCTGCCTCCTTCCTCCGCCTTTGATTCATGCTGCACTGATTTTCTCTTTAGGTATTTTTGTATGTTTTATTTTTTTATTTTTTATAAATCAATTAAAGAATTTGGTTAACAGGGAGGCTCAGCTACTGAGTCCACCAGCTGCAGAAAATATTATTTTATATATTGTGATTTGCAAAAAATTGAATTCATAAATATTGTTTTTCTGTAGAAATAAATGATTTGATTTGAGGAAAATCGGCCAAGGGGTCCATGAGTTATGATCGGACATTTATACGGACATAAAAATGAACATACAAACAAACAAACAGTGATTACAACTATATATATATGTAGAATGACACTAAGTACAATACATACCTCTATATATTCAATATTACTGATAATGCTTCCTTCCTTGATTCTCTTGATAAAAGCGTATCCGGCTCCATTATCCGTTATTGTTAAACCCAACGCATCCTCACTCTAATCAAGGAATACAACATGAACCTCCATATCTTTGTTTACATAAAAAGTGTACCGCAGTTTCTGGGAGAAATGTAAATAAAATTTAGTGCTGATCAGACCAAGTATTGTTTATATTCCTATTAAAACTTTTTATGTAAACAAAGATATGAAAGTTTCTGGGTTATTAAATAATATTTTTTGAAACAAGAAAGTGTTAATCGTCAATTTCAGAATAAAACAATTATAAACTGTAAACTTGTAATTCGAATAAAGCTCATTAACAAACAAAATTTAAAAAAAATCGTCTTTAATATATTGACATAATCGCCTCCCACTGTATATTTTATTTTAAAGAAGAAGAAAGTGTAAATATATAAGACGTTAAGCTAGATTAATATTTCTCGACGAAAATAAAATCCTTGACTTAAAATAAGATGATTAAATTGATCTGAATATGCTTATTTAAAACGAAATATGAAAATAAAAACATAAAACTAAAAATCTGGAAAGATCTTGACAATAAAAAGAAATCCACGAAATCAAAAGATCAAACTAATGTTTCCCCAAGCCACGCGGGAGATAAAATAAAATATGAAAATTTATATTTAAATAAAGATGAATGTTTATTTCAGTAGTAAAATCATAGTTTTATTTTGCATTAAAAATCTATGTTGGTAAAAATGATTAGCTTTTGTACAGATGAACCTTTCATATCTGAAAACATTTGTCACCAGGCAAAAGCTTAAAACTAGCCGGGTCAATAAAGTAATTGAGCCGGAATGAGAAAGTGAAATAATGTGGTCACAGGGATATAAAAATTGAAAATGAAAAAAATATATACTCAAATTTTGATCTAAAAGATAGAGTCGTGTATAGGAAGGAAATTATTTTTAATATAAAATTAAAGATAAATAGAAAGATATGAGATTACCTTGCAAATTTCAATTTCCTTTGGTCTCCCCTTTCTGTGTGCAAATATAAAATCATCAAGTCCTATCTGTCCCCCGAGTAGATGGCCCATATCCACCTTGTGGGTGTTCAACGTACAGAACAATATCTAAACATAGATGAGGTCAAAACTTGTTGTGTTATTAATCCCTGGATTAAGCAGTTGTTCGTAGGATTAAATTGTTTTATCTTAGATTCCCATGGTTGGAATCCAAGGGATTAATAAAATTGAGTGATCTACCACGTCAACTTTTATCCCTGAAATTTCAAAGTCGAGATTAAGTGTCCATATAAAATGACAGATATAAAAACGCAGAGGAGGGTTTCAGATTGCTAAAAATTTCCCATAAACCTGTTGAGTGTTGAGTGTTTAGCTAACAATATATACATTTGTTCCAAATAACCGGGTTCCAAGGTTTATTTGGTTAACGTGGTTTTAATCTGTATTCCAGGGCATTAAACCAATAAATTTCAGGAAACTTATTTCGGAAAATTATGTTAACGCATTGTCTTTAAATCAACTTTAAAGACAGTTCAAGTCAACCTCAATGTACAGAGGAGCATGTCTGATTCAGAACAGTACCATTCAAATCTTTTGTCTCATTAAGATTGAATGAGATATTCTAACTTTCTACCTTTTTAATCAAAAGAAGACGACATCTTCATTTTTTCTTAGATACAAGTTTAAAGGGTGACATTGTGAATCGAACATGTCTCTATTTTTAAATGAAGGGCACTTGAAATGGTGTTAGGTACTTTCCCACAGGCATTTTCCAAAGTGCCAATTTCCCAAATGTAATTTCCCCAAGGTTTGGTTAGGCTGCAAAGGGGCTGAACTCTAGCTGTAGCTAGAATGGGATAGGGGGACGAGCGCTGAAACTAAAAAATGCTAGGGTGCCGACCGCTGTGGCTATTAGGACAGACTTGGGAAAGCTGCCGCTCGGGAAATCGAACATTTGGGAAAAACCCTAAATGAGAAATTACCTAACATCCTTGAAATTATGCCAACATTAGTAATGTTAATGAGAATTTACATTAATCCAACATAATACAACAAAATTACTTTAACGTAATTGTGAGAACAAAAGAATTTGAGGGACAAGGAAAGAATGGAATGCAACCTCTCTTGAACATTGAACAATCCATGAATTTACATAAAGGAAATTAACCTAAATATATATTGGTAACAATAGAAATAGTTTAAATGATTCAGGTGTTTTAAAATTAGTTTTATGAAATACACACCGACACTAGGTTTAATATACAGTCATACATATTAATAGAATAAACAACGGTGTTATATTGCAGCTTTGCTATCAAACTTGTTTACATCCTTTTCTAATTTAAGATTTAGATATGTGCCCAAAACATTTTATTTTTCTAAATAAACATTTTTTTATGTTTGTGAGATGATCTCTTGCCTCAATCTCTAATTTTCTAATTATTTTATCTTTCCAACTTGATGTCTGAAGGAATAGGTTTAGGTTAGCTGAAGGAGTAGGTTTAGATTAGGTGAAGGAGCAGGTTTAGGTTTGCTGAAGGAGCAGGTTTAGGTTAGCTAAAGGAGCAGGTTTAGGTTAGCTGAAGGAGCAGGTTTAGGTTTGCTGAAGGAGCAGGTTTAGATTAGCTAAAGGAGCAGGTTTAGGTTAGCTGAAGGAGCAGATTTAGGTTTGCTGAAGGAGCAGGTTTAGGTTAGCTAAAGGAGCAGGTTTAGGTTAGCTAAAAGAGCAGGTTTAGGTTTGCTGAAGGAGTAGTTTTATGTTGGGTTATAGTTTTGGTTCAGGTTAGATAACGAATGGATTTAGGTTAGCTGAAGTAGTAGTTTTAGGTTAGCTGAAGGAGCAGGTTTAGGTTAGCTAAAATAGCAGGTTTAGGTTTGCTGAAGGAGTAGGTTTAGGTTGGCTAACAGAGTAGGGTTACGTTAGAAGAAGGAGTAGGTTTAGGTTGGCAAACGGAGTAGATCTTGGCTGGCTGAAGTAGTAGGTTTAGGATAGATCAATGATTAGGTTTAGGTTAACTGCAGGAGTAAATCTAGATTTGCTGAATTAGTGGGTTTAGGTTTAGGTTTGCTCACGGAGTAGGTTTAGGTAAGCTGTATGTGTAAGGAGGCATAAATCAGCTTTATTATTATTTTAACTAGCTGCTGCACTCAGTGATTCAGCAACCTGTGAAATATCTGAAATGTATTCTCACGAATCCTACTGATTGGCCATGATACTTGAAACTAAAGGATTTAAGAAAATATCTTTATGTAACTTAAACTTCACGTTTATCAACAACATAGTTTCACCATTTAGATCTACAGGTTAGATGGACGCCTTCGGCTTTATTTTATTTCGTTCGAACATCGTTCGTGAACAACCCATTTCGTTCGTGTTTTTTTCAATCGTTAAAAAAAATATGATTTTGTTTGCTCTCAAAATTATCGTTCATTTTCCATCTATTCGTTCGTTTTCTCACAGAATGCTGGCTCAGTAAAATCGTTCTTCCAGTAAAAACTGTTGTTTTTTATTTCACCGAAAGTTTGTTTGTTCAAACGATCGATCAATAAATAGTTCATAAACGATCAAGATCGTTCGAACGATTTTAAATCGTTTCTTTTTTTCTGAAGGCCATCATCGTACACGAAAAGTTTCGTTCATTCTCAAAACCGATGCCAATCTATAGGTGTACCTTGATTAATGAAACTTACATCTGAAGCTGGCATGTCGTAGCACTCTGCAATCTTGACGTAGAGCTCCTTGACATTAGTGAACCCTGAGATAATCCCTGTAGGAGATCCTTGAGCTAGCTGACAGTGGAAAACCAACCTCGGTCTGAATAAAAATAAAATAATAGTTTCTCATAATATTTCTTACTTCTATACTGTATCGGAATGTTATGCTACTTTTTTGTCTCTTAGGATAAGAAAATTCCGCCGAGCAAATCTTTAGAAAAAAAATTAGCATTTCGAACTAGGACAAGTTAAGTTTTCCTAGCTTAATTCTTCTAACAATTGCGTGAAACTGGGGGTCATAAAATAAACAAATATGATTTCATTCATTTTTCTATTTTCATTTAATTAAGAGTTCTCGGTTCTTATCCTCCGTCATCTATCTAATCTAATCTGATAAACAGAAATCTTATTCATAAGTCATGACGATACCTGATTTTATGCATAGAAATAGAGAAGGATTTGCTTTGTTATTGCTACATTTAGTTACAAAACGATTTATCAAAACTATTTTCAAAATCTCTTTTTTTAAATCTCTTTTTTTAAATCTCTTTGGCGATAATTTTTGGACCAGAGCAGAAATGCTGCATATTGATTTAAAAGCAATTAACCTTATCAAGCAAACAATCTTGTATCAGGACAAACAACATCTTAGTCTTTCAGATCCTTGAAAGTAAAAAGCCTTGAAGGTTCAAATGATGCCTAGCTCTATTTATAACGCCTAGAAATACGAGACAAAAACAATCTTTTACAACATTACAATATCCAAGCAGGCGCGCAACTAGGGGGGGGGGCAAGGGGGCAAGGCCCAGTACCCTAGTCTGATTAAGAGGGAGCATGTCCCTCCCTTTAGAAGGCTTGCCCCCCTTGAACGGGGGGGCTGGGCAAGAACTCGCTCCTGTTTTGCAATTTAGCGATTTATGAATTCCTGGGAAAGGGAAATGGGGTATATTAAGTATTTTTAGATATTTTCACTATCAGTTCTGCCACTTATTATGATATTGCTTTAATTTAATAATGCAATACAACTATTAAATTAATTATACATGTTTACCGCAAATATTGTGTGATGTGTCAGATAAAAAAAATATATTTTTCATGTAAAATCATGATTTTTTTTATGAAAGGCATTTGTTGTCATTGTCTCAGTACAATGTATATTGTGATTTATATTAACCAGAATAGATTTCTTTTTTTTATTTCATATCAGATGTGTTAGTCACCGAATATCCGGTTAGAAAGGTTAGTTTTTTATTTCTTGGGTATGATACACATTTTTCTTGCCCCCCCCCCTAAAAATGTTTAGAGGGAGGTTAAAATTTTTTTTTTCATATTTCCCTATTGCCCCCCCCCCCCCCAACAAAATGTCTGGTTGCGCGCCTGAATCCAATGAATCTAAGCCTTCTCAAGAATTGTATTCCAAGTTATGAGTTATTTCTTAGATTATTAACATTATCCCATCTTACAATCACAGACTGAGAAAGAATTCTTTAATTTATAAATACTTGGAACTTTCTTCGTACGCATTAAATATTAAATATATTGTTAATTAAGATTGGTTTATATATATATGTATATATATATATCTGAAATCCTTTAAATGTATAGAGGAGAGTGTACACTAAACACAGGAAACGGTTGATTGGATAAAAATCTAAATTAAAGAGAAATCATTCAGTTTAATCTGGATCAAATTACATCCATGGTGAAAATGAGATTCTTGAAGTTTAACGAGGGGTTTAAGAATGAATGAAAACACTACTGAACTAACATAGAAACCTGGAATCATGGTTTCCTGTTCCTATATCCTAATAAACTAACCTGGAATCCTGGTTTCCTGTTTCTATATCCTGATCAACTAACCTTGAATCCTGGTTTCCAGTTCCTATATTCTAATCAACTAATCTGGAATCCTGGTTTCCTGTTCCTATATCCTGATAAACTAACCTGGAATCCTGGTTTCCTGTTTCTATATCCTGATCAACTAACCTGGAATCCTGGTTTCCTGTTCCTATATCCTAATCAACTAATCTGGAATCTTGGTTTCCTGTTCCTATATCCTGATAAATTAACCTAGAATCCTGGTTTCCTGTTTCTATATCCTGATCAACTAACCTGGAATCCTGGTTTCTTGTTCCTATATCCTGATAAACTAACCTGTAATTCAGGTTTCCTGTTCCTATATCCTGATCAACTAATCTGGAATCCTGGTTTCCTGTTCCTGTATCCTGATAAACTAACCTGGAATCCTGGTTTCCTGTTCCTATATCCTGATCAACCAACCTGGAATCCTGGTTTCCTGTTTCTATATCCTGATCAACTAACCTGGAATCCTGGTTTCCTGTTCCTATATCCTGATCAGCTAACCTGGAATCTTGGTTTCATGTTCCTATATCCTGAGCAACCAACCTGGAATCCTGGTTTCCTGTTTCTATATCCTGATCAACTAACTTGGAATCCTGGTTTCCTGTTCCTATATCCTGATCAACTAACCTGGAATCTTGGTTTCCTGTTCCTATATCCTGATCAATTCCAACCTGGAATCCTGGTTTCCTGTTCCTATATCCTAATCAACTAACCTGGAATCCTGGTTTCCTGTTCCTATATCATAATAAACTAACCAGGAATCTGGTTTCCTGTTCCTGTATCCTGATCAACTAACCTGGAATCCTGATGTTCTTCGACACTATTCCTGTTTCCACTCTCCTGCACTCCATTCACTTCTTTTTCAACACTAAAAAATGCATATTATTAAAAATGATTCAACCAGAATTTTTTTACTAAGGAATCGAGTCTTTGTCACAAACTCTGAATTTAATCCTTATTATCTTTAAAACCAATGTCGGAGACCTTAGATACTTAAAACTATGAATTCCGTTAGATCAAATTATGTATAAGTTCGAAATATCAGAGGTTTACTCAATTAGGTTGCATCGATATTAGGATTTAAAAATTCAAGTTTGTGGCAAAGACTTAATTCCTTTCGGGTTGAGATGTCCAACAATACTTTCAGTTAAAGTTCTAGTAGGAAAACTTATTACTATTTTTAATCGTATTTGCTCTGAACATGAAAGAAAAAAAAATTTGGTAGAATATACAAATGATAAAAGTATAAAAAGTTGGTATACTAATGATAAAAGTATAAAAAGTTGGTAGAATATGCAAATGATAAAAGTATAAAAAGTTGGTAGAATATACAAATGATAAAAGTACCACAAAATGTATCCAATCTACCCTGAAATTAAGGATTGAAATGTTTTTTTTTTAAGATAACCCCTGGTTGAACTCTTACTGCTAAGGATTTCGTATCATAGGAGATAGTTTTCAATATATTTTTTTTTATAAATTTATATAAATATATAATTATCGAAATAAATTTAAATATATATGTATATAATCTGTTTTCTAAATGATAAAAAATTATCCATTTTTCCGGATAAGAATATCGTTTCTGATTATAACACACTAGCTAGAGACCACGCCGTTGCCGTAATATTAAATCTTTTAACCAAGCTAAGAACGGTTACATAGTTCTAACAATTAACCCCATCAAAATTTGAGGCAAATCGGCCATGGGGGGTTTGATTGGACATAAGAACAAACAGAAAGATGTTTCTCATAAAAAATTAATCTGTTTGATTGCTTATTAATCTGTTTTATTGCTTATTAATCTGTTTGATTGCTCATTTCAAAACACTTAGGCGTTAGAGATCTCCCTAAGGCACTATCAGAAGGATGAAGGTTAGAGATCTCCCTAAGGCACTATCAGAAGGATGAATGTTAGAGATCTCCCTAAGGCACTATCAGAAGGATGCAGAATGTTTAAAAGCGAAAACTTTCCATCACGTTTTTGATTAATGAAGTTAAATTTTTTTGGAGATAGAGTAATAAGAAAATGATACGGAAAAATGCCTAAGCCAAAAGCTCAAGACTAATGTTTCTTTCGTAATATTGTATTAAATTGTATCATTGGAAAGGAATGGAATTTAATCCATTTTCGGAAAATTTTTTTATATAATTTTGACGGCCTAACTTTTTTACTTTGATTATATATATATTTTATTTATTGAAGAAGAGATATTTTCTTGTTTCTTTGTCAAATCTATGGAAAATATTTTAAAAATTTCACTGTAAAACCGGTTTTTGTATAAACTTTTTACATACGGCATTTAGAATTCTGGTTCTTAGGAACTCAGGCTTTGCTGGGATTAAAAACTCGAAAATCATGTATAAATAGCTGTGTTCTCTGTACAGTATACATTTCCTTAAAGAATGAAGGTTTTCTGAAACAACTTTACGAGTAGATTTGTGTCGTAAAAGTAAATTTTAGGACGATAAACTAGTATTGTCCTCCTTCCGTTATGGAAGATAAAATATATTTGGTTTAGGGAGAACCTTAATGTATCCAGTCCATCAGAAAACTTACCACAACGCGTATTAAGTCCTTATTTAATCTACCCTGAAAATGAACACACCACAAAATTAATCCACAATTAATCCACCCTGAAAATGAACACACCACAAAATGTACCCAATCTACCCCGAAAATGATCACACCACAAAATGTATCCAATCTACCCCGAAAATGAACACACCACAAAATGTATCCAATAATCTACCCTAAAAATAAACAAACCACAAAATGTATCCAATCTACCCTAAAAATAAACACACCACAAAATGTATCCAATAATCTACCCTGAAAATGAACACACCACAAAATGTATCCATTTTTCCCTGAAAATGAATACACCACAAAATGTATCCAATAATCTATCCTGAAAATGAACACACCACAAAATGTATCCAATCTACCCTGAAATTAAGGTCCCCTCAGCCCCCTTCCCCCGCCTTTCTTTCAGGGAACTTTTTCGATATTTTTACTTCTGCGGATGTGTGGCTTCATTTACAGATATTCCACATTTCTTTACATAATCTTAGCAGGATAATACGAGTTTATAACTACACATATGCCATACTTACTACTTTTGAGCTGTATTCGAGTTAAAGGAAGTATATGCAAAAAAATATAAATTTTCTGTTGCTAAGATGTTCTTTTTTCGTCAATTTAGAAATTAAGAGAAATAACAATGAAAATAAAAAATCATTAACTAGGTTTTAAAACAACAAATAAGCTTTTTTCTGGTGTCAGTACACAGTTGTTGGTTAATAAATGGTCACGGTTTAGACTTTGTCCTTTCAAGGCCATTCTATAGTTTAAGTAATTGAAGCTAGAGCGGAGCTTAACACTTTTCACACAGATTTTACAGTGCTCTTCTAGGTCAGGAACTGGGCACTTTTCACACAGATTTTACAGTGCTCATCTAGGTCTTGAGCTAGGCACTTTTCACACAGATTTTACAGTGCTCTTCTAGGTCAGGAGCTGGGCACTTTTCACACAGATTTTCCAGTGCTCATCTAGGTCAGGAGCTAGGCACTTTTCACACAGATTTTACAGTGCTCTTCTAGGTCAGGAGCTGGGCACTTTTCACACAGATTTTACAGTGCTCTTCTAGGACAGGAGCTGGGCACTTTTCACACAGATTTGCCAGTGCTCTTCTAGGTCAGGAGCTAGGCACTTTTCACACAGATTTTACAGTGCTCTTCTAGGAAAGGAGCTGGGCACTTTTCACACAGATTTTACAGTGCTCTTCTAGGACAGGAGCTGGGCACTTTTCACACAGATTTTCCATTGCTCTTAAAGGTTCTTTTCATTTTCAAATTGACACTTCTAGTGCAATAAACAACCCATTGTCTAATTTATCTACAGATATTTGTTAATGGACAGCTTAGGTAAATTTAAATGAAATAAAATCCGACTTTTGGTAACGTCCTATTTCCATTCTCCAGATTCAAAATCCCTGGACTATCCAGACGTCTTATTTAATTATTCCAGATTCAATATAACCCTGGACTATCCAGACGTCCTATTTCCATATTTCAGATTCAATATAAACTTGGACTAACCTGACGTCCTATTTCCATATACTCTAGATTCAATGTAACCCTGGACTAATCAGACGTCCTATTTCCATACTCCAGATTCAATATAACCCAGGACTATCCAGACGTCCTATTTCCATACTCCAGATTCAATATAAACCTGGACTAATCAGACGTCCTATTTCCATACTCCAGATTCAATATAACCCTGGACTAACCTGACGTCCTATGTCCATACTCTATATTCAATATAACCCTGGACTAATCAGGCGTCGTATTTCCATACTCCAGATTCAATATAAACCTGGACTAATCAGACGTCCTATTTCCATACTCCAGATTCAATATAACCCTGGACTAACCTGACGTCCTATGTCCATACTCTATATTCAATATAACCCTGGACTAATCAGGCGTCGTATTTCCATACTCCAGATTCAATATAAACCTGGACTAATCAGACGTCCTATTTCCATACTCTATATTCAATATAACCCTGGACTATCCAGACGTCCTATTTCCATACTCCAGATTCAATATAACCCTGGACTACATCCTATTTCCATACTCCAGATTCAATATAACCCTGGACTAACCTGACATCCTATTTCCATACTCCAGATTCAATATAACCCTGGACTAACCTGACATCCTATTTCCATACTCCAGATTCGATATAACCCTGGACTAACCTGTCGTCCTATTTCCATACTCTAGATTCAATATAATCCTGGACTAATCAGGGCGAGATGCATTCGTTTTCCGTTGGCAGAGAAGTCGTTACTGCATTCAGATGTCTTGGCTTTAAAATCAGTAAACATTCACATTCGAACCCATTTGCATCAATTAAATATTGAGTTATATGTTTTTAATATGAAATAAGGCGTTTAATGCATTATATTAGTGATTAATGCGAAGAGCTTTATCTATATATAAATTTGGCTTGTCTGTCTGTCTGTATCCAATAAACGTCAAAACGGCTGAGCCGATCGGGCCCAAATTTTTTGTGGGACATCTAGGGACCACAGGGAAGGTTTATGAATGATAAAAATTTTAAAAAATGTGTTTTAAATGTTTTTAATTTAGTAAAAAAAAAAAATTCTTGAAAATTCGCGAATTTATTTTTTAAATTCGCAAAAAATTTTCTTCTTTGTTTTAAAATGTAAACAAAAAGAATATGTTCACAATTTAAATAGAATAGTATATTTATAAATATGTACGTATTTGCCTTTTTACTATCTGCCTAAACATCTTATAATGCGTACAAATCAATGTTCTGCATTACACTCATATTTTTTAAATATTTTTTGTGATAAAACTAATGTTTGAGTTGTAGGAGATAAGCCTGCAAAAAAACTTATTTTACCTTCAAAACTTGAAGAATGTTCTTTAATTCATTTAGGCATATATATATATATATATATATATCTAAATATGTATATATAGATATATATGCCAGCCTATGTTGAATTTTAAAAACATTTATCTATTTTATGATATATATAAATATCGTTGTTAATTAAATAGCGTTTCTACATGATTTACCATTTATCTGTATAAAATGAATATAAATGTCCAGGGTTTCTACAAATTTTATTTCCATGAAAGGCCTGATTTCATGGATCACTGACATTTCTTTTACACTTATATTCCATTTTCTTATCACTTAATCTATATAGTAGAATTTGCATTATATTTTTTATTTATTTAATATGATATTATATAAATAATTGTATTTATTTATTTATTTTGTTTAAACCTTTATCTGATCAATGTGTGGAAAAAACTTTATTTCCGGTTTCAAAAGGGCTTAATTTTGACAATTTTCATCATTGTTTCTGAAGCAGAAACCCGCAAATTGTTTTTCAAAGAGAAACTTCAATGGAAAATAATCAATTTTAAAAGACAAAACTTTTGAGGGAACCGGTGTGAATCGAATATGCTAACCTATAGATATAGAGTTTCACTTGTAATTCCCGAAAAGGTTGTATCAAAAGATTTGTTGTTGTTGATAACCCTCAAGAAATAAAGGGCAAATAAACCTATTTATAAAATAATTCATTTTAATCCACAAACTCTGATTTTCTAATCACTAAATCTTTGGATCCAAATGTTGCAGACCTTAGATATTTCAAACTATGAATTCTGTTAGATCAAATAATCTGAGTTTGAAATATCAAAGGTTTACAACATCGAGTTCTAAAAATATAGAGGTTTATTTATTTGATTTTGTTCCTTTGTGGGGAAAATAAGTATTGAGTAAAAAGTATCCTTAAGAAGAGAGAGGACTTGGCAGTTGCTAGTTATGTACCTTTCAAAATCAATTAAAGTAATTTTCCCCATTTAAGGGAGGGTGGGGTGGGGGGTATTTCCTGAAAATATAAAACTCTTACATATTCTCCTGATTACAGATATCATCATTGATGGGCATTATCTTGTTTTTTTTTTAGGGTTTTGACTTTTAAAAAACGCTGCAAAAATACAGTCAACTTGGGAAGGGTAAGGTTACATTTGAAAACTGTATTCTGTAAAAGCTTGCTTTAATTAAACTATGCAAAAGCTTTATATCCTTAATAATATGAGGAAAAATTCAACCAAAATTGCAGTGTAAGGAAACCACAAGTTTAGAAAGAAAAATTTGTATATTTGTAAAAGTCCAAAAAACCGAAAAGTTTTACAAAAACGTATCAACCTATCCCATCACTAGTGAGGGTTGAACAGAAGCAGATTTACTTGATTTATTCTGAGTCATTTATTGAGGAACTGCAATTCTAACATTATTTAAGCTGACAGGGTGCTTTTGCTCAGGATACAGGGTGAAGTTGCAAAACGGGCATTTTCTGTTAAATAAAGAATTTCTGGTATTCATAAATTTTTTCTTCTAAATTTCCAATAGATCGAATGCAAGCTTTAGTTGCTATAGAGTTGATATCTATATATAAATTTAGCTTGTCCGTCTGTCTTTTTATTTGTTTGTCTGTTTGTTTGTCTCCAAAAAAACTTCAAAACGGCCGAACCGATTGGGCCCAAATTTTGTGTGGGACCTCACGTGACCCCAGGGAAGGTTTATGAATGATCAAAATTTCAAAAATGTGTGTTTAAAAGTTTTTTATTTTGTAAAATTTTGAAAATGCGCAAAAAAATAATATGAAATCCGCAAACTTTTTTGTTTTTGTTTTATACTGTGCAAAGAGAAGATGCTCAGAGATAAAGCCACAATTAGTATTTCAAATAGAAGATAGGCGCCACGCGCCCTGAAAGCCTAGTAATATATATAATACTTTGATTTGCGGGTGTTTCTCGCCCATCTTCTATTTCAACTTTAAATTGTGGCTCTATATGTGAGATCTTCTCTTTGTACAATATTAAACCATATCCGAAAAAAAGTTCGCAGTTCTAATAATATTTTTTCGCACATTTTCAAAATTTTACCAATTTCAAAAAATTTTAATAATTTTGTAATTTTGAGCTTCCATGAACCTCCCCTGGGGTCTAGTGACTCTGAGGTCCCATACATAATTATGGCCCGATCGGTTCATCCGTTTTGAAGTTTATTGGACACAAACGGACAGATGCAAAGTATATATATATATATATATATATATATTATATATATCATATATATTATATGTATTATACTATTGATTTGCTTCAAACATCAATTCTCAACATTAGATGATAAATCGCAGTAAATGAAAGAAAGAAAAAGAGAAAAAGTTACAAATGAAGATAAAGAAAAGTATGAAACATTACTTAGAGACATGTTTAGCTTACAAAACGGAAGATAAGGATACAAATAACGATATTATAAATTAAGCATACAAGATAAATAGTCGCCATATTTAATTTTCAACCCAACCAGAAATGGAAGTCATTTTTATGTTTAAGACGAACTGTAAAATGACGTAATTCTGAAATGAAAGTAAGTTGAAGACTGAAGATGATTCTTTGCAAAATTTACCTTTTAACATCTGGTTCATAATGTTCTTTGGGTCCTCTCGGCTTATTCCATAAAGGCATTTTGCATTCACTCGCTTCTGCACGTTTTCCTCAATCCCGTAGAGGTATCTATGTATTAATCACTGAAGTTCACTAGAAAATAATTACTAATAATTTCTCTCTTATCTCTCACTAATCATGTTATCTCTATATAGGATACTGCAAACAGGGGAGATTTGATACAATTTCAAAGGATACAGGGATAGATAGAATCTGGATACAGGATTGTTGAGTATATTCACTTCACTTCAATATTTGATTTCAAAAGCAGAGAGTAGCGGGGATATTTGAATCTCTAAGCCATTTTTCAGTTTCTGAAACATGTCGTTTTATAATAAAGCCTGAAGTAAGATAAGTTCATGAATATTTAAAATAAAAATCTGAACACGAAACCTACAGTTTTCACCCTTCATATGTCCGTCAGATTTGAACAAAAATGTTTCTAGAACGGCTGAATCAAATGGGTCTAATTTTTGTTAGGACCTGTAGTTTTCCCGATTTTGCATGTAAAATGGGGAAACATTAAAATTTCTGAACATTTTTTTTTTCAAGTTTTGCTTCCCAAATGTGTTAGTAACGCAATAATGTCAATGTTTATAATTGGGAACTGGGAAATTTGAAAAAATTGTAGGCTAGCTTTAAAACGTGAAAATGTTACTGTAAAGCTAGTGAGCTAGCTTTAAAATGTGAAAATGTTACTGTAAAGCCAGTGAGCTAACTTGAAAATGTGAAAATGTTACTGTAAAGCTAATGAGCTAGCTTGAAAATGTGAAAATGTTACTGTAAAGCTAATGAGCTAGCTTGAAAATGTGAAAATGTTACTGTAAAGCTAGTGAACTAGCTGAAACATCTTGAAAATGTGAAAATGTTACTGTAAAGCTAATGAGCTAGCTTGAAAATGTGAAAATGTTACTGTAAAGCTAATGAGCTAGCTGAAACATTTGAGAAAATTCATGTAAAGCTAGTGAACTAGCTAGAAAATAAGAAAATGTTACTGTAAAGCTAGTGAGCTAGCTAGAAAAGTGAAAATGTTACTACAAAGCTAATGAACTAGCTAGTAAATGTAAAAATGTTACTGTAAAGCTAGTCAGCTAGGTAGAAAATGTGAAAATGTTACTGTAAAGATAATGAGCTAGCTTGAAAATGTGAAAATGTTACTGTAAAGCTAGTGAACTAGCTAGAACATGTGAAAATGTTACTGTAAAGCTAGAGAACTAGCTAGAAAATGTGAAAATGTTACTTTAAAGCTAGTGAACTACCTAAATGTAAAAATGTTACTGTAAAGCTAGTGAACTAGCTAGACCATGTAAAAATATTGGATGAATTTTACAACGCCCTGAAAGGGAGTTTATTCAATAGAGACTGCGCTAGGAATATATTTTCATTCTAAGATATATTTTATAAATATTATTAATATTGGCAAGATACCAATATGATTGATTTCAAGGGTTACAATAGACTGGGGCTCTGATAAAAGAATCCTTACATTTTGTTGAATAGCATACTCTGCTCTATACTGAATGGTCTAGTTATGATAACCCCGAGACTAGATGTAAGATTGGTATTATATAAAACATTTCTTCATTATTACAACAGATGGTTTAATGTGCGGTGCACAGGATAGTCGTCCTGTGCACATCAAACTTGAAAAAGAAGCCTGGAACAAAAATCCCAAAGGATGAGTAAGTTTTAAATTCATGGAATTCTTTCTAATAATCTTAATTTTCACTTTCACGCTTCACTTGGAGAGGTTCTGGTTTGGTGTTAATGCTCCAAGTACCAAGAATGAACTGTGTAATGATAAACCTTTGGTTTCACAAGAATCAGGGTTCAGCTCCTGTGTCTCTAGTACTCTCCGGAGCTACTAAGAGGAAACCAGGTGGAACACCTGACGGTACTAGCAGGATTCACGGATTCATGTTCACTTAGACCTGACGTTACTAGCAGGATTCACGAATTCATGTTCACGAGACCTGACGTTACTAACAGGACTCCACATGTTCATGTACACCAGACATGATGGTACTAGCAGGACTCACGGGTGCATGTTAATTAGACTTGGTGGTACTAGCAGGACTCACAGATGCATGAACACTAGACCTGACGAGTGACTGTGCTACCATGACTCACAGGTTTATGAACAATAAACCTGACGGTACTATCATTACTTTCAGGTCATATACACCAGACATGACAGTACTAAAAGGACTGAAAGGTTCTTTTACATTAGACCTGTTGTTACTCACAGACCTCACAGGATCAGCTACACTTAACCTGTCGGTACTAGCATGACTTACAGGATTATGTACACTAGACCTGATGACACTTACAGGACTATCAGTTTCATGCACACTAGGACTTATGGTATTAGCAGGATTCAATGATTTATGTGCATTGTGCATTACAACTGACGGAACTCGCAGGACTCACAGGTTAATGTACACTAGATCAATGATAATAACAGGACTCACAGGTTCATGTTCTCTACACTTGATTTTGCTACCATGAGTCGCAGGTTCATGTACACTAAACCTAAAGTAATTTCCGGATTTACAGGATCATGTACAATATTCTTGACTGTATTAACAGGAATCATGGCTTCATGGACTCAGATTTGGACTCAGATTCATTCATACTAGATCTGAGGGTGCTACACTTGGTGCTACTAGCAGAACTCACAGGTTTATGTACACTAGACCTGGCAAGTGAATGTGCTACCATGACTCATCGATTTATGTACACTAGACCGGATGTGAACTTCCAGGGCACACAACTTGACATGATAACAGGACTCAAAGGTTTATAAGGTTTATGTACACTAAGGATGACCGGCATCTGGCAATGACACAGCTTAATGATTTTATGGCAAATAAAAAGAAAAAAACTGAAGGCTGACAGACATGAGCAGACATGGGCTTGGACAATGCTAGTTTTACATATTTTGATATCACATCAAATTCTCTAAATCCTAGTGGTTAAAATATTATTGCAGGGAATGCTGAACAGCAAACTTTTATAATAGATGTTAGTTCCAACTTGTAGAAAAATGGAAACAGTAAATCTGAGGAAACTCTGATAAAACTAGTTTCTGGAAAGTTAGATCATTAATAACTACAAAATCTAAGCAATTATTTAAGACAAATTCTCATCTCATTATTGCTAAAGACCAAACTTCTTGTAAAAATCTGTAATTAATCTAAGTTTCTTTATTTTCTTCTATACCTTACATTCACAAAATGCCACAGGCAGCCGTAGTACATTTGAATTTCCCTGTCGGGTCAACCTTCGGTCCCAGTTTTTACTGTATCACCCGGACATTGGGCAAATAAGGCAGACACTCAATAGGACTGGCCGGTACAGCAGGGTTGACGCGGTTAGACATTAGATGAGGGCCGCTGATATGTGTGCAGAAACCTGTGAAGCCTGTATATTGAGGACCCCCTTATATGTGTTCGGAAACCTTGAAGCCTGTATGATAAGGGCCCCTGATATACATATGTCCGGAAACATGTAAAGCCTGTATGTTTAGGGCCCCTGATATACATATGTCCGGAAACCTGTAAAGCCTGTGTGTTGAGGGCCCCTGACACGAGCTAAACCTTGTCTCAATCCGCGGATACAATTTCACTTTCACACTCGACTTGCCTGTGAACTTTTGACATTGAAATTACTTAATATTTGAGGATGGAGAATTTAGAGAGAATCTGGAGGAGTTCGGGGAGGAGGTAGATAAAATTCTCTTAAAGGCAGAAACAATGTTTTATTCTGAAAAGAAACATAAGAGAGTAATAATACCAAATAAAAACATTTTTTTTAAACTTCTGCCTCAAAAGAGTGGACTAAAATTTCCCATACATTCTAAATATTTTAGAAATATATCATTAGAAAATAGAAAATAAACATATGATAAAATAATTGCAAATATATATATTTGTCTTCAAATTAATGTTTGACATTGCTGCTCTGGAATACCTTATAAATATTAGTCATCTTTTTTCTATATAAAATAACGATGTGTACATTGTACAAGGGGAGTTTAACAAATCAAAAATATTTTCCGTAAACGAGGTCAGGGGCGGATACAGGGGGGGGGGAGCGGCAGGACCTTCGCACCTCTCTGACGGGATTCAGGGGGCGTAGCCCCCCCTGAAATTTCAGAATAGCTTCTCAATAGCACTTAAAGGGAAGAAAACCTGTATCCTGTACCCTCTATCCGCCCCTGGAAGTGGTAAAAAAAAAAATATATATCAGCAGTTGGTCCCCACCATGATACCTTGAAATCCTGATTTGGTTGGGGGGAGGGTAGTGATGGGAATTATCTTAGTTCTATCAGCAGCTGGTCCCACCATGATACATAAACCTTGAAATCCTGATTTGGTGGGAGGAGGGGGGTAGTGATGGGCATTATCTTGGTTCTATTAGCAGCTGGTACCACCATGATACATAAACCTTGAAATCCTGATTTGGTGGGAGGAGGGGGGTAGTGATGGGCATTATTTTTGGTTCTATCAGCAATATGTCCGGAAACCTGTGAAGCCTGTATGATAAGGGACCCTGATATACATAGTTTCTACAAATTTTATTTCCATGAAAGGCCTGATTTCATGGATCACTGACATTTCTTTTACACTTATATTCCATTTTCTTATCACTTAATCTATATAGTAGAATTTGCATTATATTTTTTATTTATTTAATATGATATTATATAAATAATTGTATTTATTTATTTATTTTGTTTAAACCTTTATCTGATCAATGTGTGGAAAAAACTTTATTTCCGGTTTCAAAAGGGCTTAATTTTGACAATTTTCATCATTGTTTCTGAAGCAGAAACCCGCAAATTGTTTTTCAAAGAGAAACTTCAATGGAAAATAATCAATTTTAAAAGACAAAACTTTTGAGGGAACCGGTGTGAATCGAATATGCTAACCTATAGATATAGAGTTTCACTTGTAATTCCCGAAAAGGTTGTATCAAAAGATTTGTTGTTGTTGATAACCCTCAAGAAATAAAGGGCAAATAAACCTATTTATAAAATAATTCATTTTAATCCACAAACTCTGATTTTCTAATCACTAAATCTTTGGATCCAAATGTTGCAGACCTTAGATATTTCAAACTATGAATTCTGTTAGATCAAATAATCTGAGTTTGAAATATCAAAGGTTTACAACATCGAGTTCTTGATGGGCATTATCTTGTTTTTTTTTTAGGGTTTTGACTTTTAAAAAACGCTGCAAAAATACAGTCAACTTGGGAAGGGTAAGGTTACATTTGAAAACTGTATTCTGTAAAAGCTTGCTTTAATTAAACTATGCAAAAGCTTTA